CTATATGTAAATATTTGTAAGCATGGAGCTACTTATATATATATGCAATATATAAATATATAGGGGAGTATTTAAAATGTATATGTCAAGGATGTATCAATACTATTTATATGCATAAGTTATACATAATATGTTTTTTATAAGTGCATATTAACTTAAGTATTTATATTAAAAAACTATCATCAAAATGGAAAGGGTTACCATCTTTTACGAAAAGTAATTAGATACCTATCAAAATTATGTATTTATCAAAAATAATTCAAAATTCATAATAATTTTTATTAATATTAGAAAAATTTGGTTAATGTAATTAATCGAGTTAAATTTGACTCACTCAATTCAAGTTATTTGCGTAAAAACAACCTTTACTAGTAATTGTACCTTCCCTTAAAAAAAAGGAGAAAAGGAAGTCACATTATTTTTAATTTTATATCAGACGATTACTTTAAGAACAAGTATTTAGTGTAGTAGTAAATAACAAACAACTTTAATTAGTGGTTATAAATAAAATCGTCACAATTTATAAATCGAAAAGGAATGAGGAAGGAAAAAAAATATTAGTCCATAGTATATTAATTTTATTATATATTAATATGTATAAGTGTAATAAATTAAAAACTATAAATATAAAAAACCAAACGTATATAAGTGTACAGATAACAATAAATTAAGAACCCTCTTAATTATATTCGTACAAAAAACTGAGGAATACTTAGAGTTAATTTCGTGCAACATACGCGTCATTTGCTTATGCATCCCATAGTTCGTACTATAACGCGGAAAATTCAAAAGTTCGACCAACATTCAGCTACTGATATTCTCCCTGTAAAAAATTCAACATAATAAAATCTGGGCAATCACATTACCCATCACAAGTTGATGAATAAAAACTATATCAAAAACCACCCTACGACCTGACCTTCGACAACGAAGTCCAAAAGAATACTTTCGTAAAGGGGAAACCTTAACTAATCCGAATATATAAATTTCCGGTTAATGTTCTATAGAATTTCCGGTTCTATAGAAATTAAATGTAATTCTATAGAAACTACGAGTACTACGACATTTTTAACACTCGTTCAAAAACTATTGTAAATAACTCACTTAAATGTAAAAATTTATGAAATTAAGTACATACTTGCAACTTGAAATTATAACAAATTAAAAAAATATCAAAATAAGTTTGTAATTTAATAACTTCAATATACCAAAATAGAACAAAAAAATTTTCATTTAGCGAATTGTAGAAATTGCTAATTTGAAATTTTCATTCACAATAATTATTTTAATAATTTACTGTACTCAAAATTTTACAAATATGGCAACATTATTCGTATAACAATTTAATTCTATTTTTACAAAATTATATTTTTACAATGTATACTTGTATACAACAAACACAAAATGTACAATGAAATGGATGGTATATAAATTCTACCTCTATTTAACCTATAAAGTTAACATAATTGACTTAATACATTTTGTATATCTTTATATTGTATATTGAACCTTTTATATTTTATTGATATACAAACACTCACTCATTACACTGTACAAGTGCATGCATATAGTTAATATCAATAGCTACATATTATCTGTTATACATGTTACGGATTTAGTTTTTGAATTAATATAACAAAATATCATATATATGTTGCACATGTATATGTATATGTATATATATATATAAATATATATATATATTAATAGTTAGCTATTAAAATATTCTGAATTTAGAACTAAAAATAAAGGTTCTATAAATAATACTAAATTGATGTCTACATTGTATTAATATAATTGATTTGTTCATTTTTATTTATTGTCATTATTATTATTAAAAACAGCGAAAAATATTGTTTACATATTACAATCATATATACATACTTATAAATGGAAATAGTATATTGCAGTGTTTATATACAGAAAAAATATAAGTATAAAATTTAGAATGACGTTTTTATAATCAAAAGTTTTTATTTAGATTTTTGCAGCACAGAAGCAGAAATAACAATTTTTTACAATTCTCATTTAAAAATATCATGCAAGTCAAATAGTATTACAACCTCATATACCCATGTATACTTAATAATATTATGACATTACAACTTTATATATGATTTTATTACTTCACACATATTTGTACGTATGTAGTTTTTTGCATGTGTTTATTGATTAAAAAATTTTCTATTTATAGTTTATGTGTTTTAATCTAATTTATAATATTTTGAATAATATTGCATACATATGTGTATATGCAATTTTCTTATTCAAACGAAATTCTATTAGAAAAATAAAGTAAATTGAAATTTAATAACATCAATTTATTTAAAAATGCATAAGTGCTTTATTTATAGCACACATTTTTTTTTAATTATTTTATTAATTTCACGATTATAGAATATTTTTTATTTTAAATATTTTGAAATTGAAATTGATATCATATACTTAGTAAATTTGTAATAATTTTAATTAATTGATTGGAAAATATTAATAAAATTTGTGATGATTGGAATTAAAAAATATTTATAGTAGATTTGAAAATATGGGATTCTTATACAATTATTAAAATATATAATATTCTTATAATACTTAATTAGAAACGAACTGTTTTGTTCTATTAGATTTATAAATTGTAATTTTGAAGATAGTTAAAATTCATTGGAATCGGAGGAGGTATGGGTTATGTCAATCGTGTTTTGGCATTGGGAGGAAATTGTTTTATTTATAGAAAATTTATTTTTTGGATATTTAGAATTGCGAAAATTTTTTAATGGAAGTTAAAGAAAAATATTTTCTAAAAAAATTTAGAATTATTAAAGAAACAATATTTGGTTGTCAACAGGCGTATGTAGTAACTTTATAACATGTATCTCAATAAACACTGAAAATTTTTTCTTTTGAACCAAGAGCTATACTGTTGGGTCAATATTAATTTATTGCATTTATATAAGTTACATGTAAGTGAATATTTGGCCACAATTATTGTAAATTACTACAATTATATTTATTAATAAATATACTACAATTTTAAACATACTAAATGTAAAAAATTTTCAAATTAATGTAAAAATATTCATACTTTATTTATATTAATATTAAAAGTATTTGTCAATATCTTATAGACAGGCTCGGTTCTAAGCTGTTCGACGACCTATGCGGTTCTCAAAAAGTGTGCCCTACTGTTTCAAAACAATGAACAATATGCAGCAAACATGGAATATTGCATATGATAACTACGCCCCTATTTTCTGGCGGCCATTGCATATGTTTACTTTGCATATATGACAGATCCGCCGCTGCTTATAGATTATTTGGAATTTTTAGATTAAATATATCGATTAAAAAACCGAAAATTCTATTCAATAAATACTAAAAATTTAAAATACTTATACTTAGAACAATTCACATTCATGAAAGCAAAATAAAGCCCATTTTACATATGATATTTGTATGTGTATATTTTATTACATTGTGCACCTTGATAACAAATAAAGCAATAAATTTAAAGAAAATTAATTTTCAATTACTTATGTATATTAAATTTTTAATTGTACAATGCGTAGATCACAATTTTCTTCCAATAAATAATGAAAAATTTTCAACATGTTCTGTTAATTGAAGAAAGCGAGACTTCAACCCGTCCCATCCAGCATATAAAATATTAAAGATTTTATTCTCAGTCGTTTGATGTCATAAAAAAGACTATATATTAAATATTTTAATTAAATTGCATACATTATTGATTATGTGTTTGTAACATAAGGTACTTTTAAGTATAGAAATAAAAATTTCTATTATACATATTTATTTGAAAATATTTTATATTTTCAATTTAAAAATCGATTTTATATTTTATTTTTATGTATAATATGTAATTTATATTTAATTTTATAATCATAATCTTATACAGTTTTAAATGTGTATAACAATATTATATAAATAAATGTTACGTTATATTACACTTTAATATATAGTTATACTGCAATATTATGTAAACAAAATTTATTGCCTTCTAAGAAATTTATATAAGTTATATACAAAAATATATATAAAATATAACAATTAAATTTCTTTTGAAATACTTAATTATTCAAAGAGGTTTTATAATATAATTATATGCTACTTCTTTAAAAGATAGATATATGTACATAAATATGTTGTCAGCCTTTTATAATTTAAATTATAACGCATCCTACGCGGTATATATAAATATATATGATTTATTTAATCTGTATAACATTAGAAAAATTAAAAAATTTAACAAACCAGTTGAATGTATAAATTAAAAACAATTATTTTTGTGTACATAGCGTTCAAATCAGAATTCAGAATACAGAAAATTAAAATGCAAATCGAAAGCAAAAGAAAAGCGAAAAAATATATATATATAACGTACATCTTAAGTATAGATAATATGAATAATATTAAACAAAATCTTTTTATTGCAGTAACATTTTGTCTGGAGCTCATTATTATTTAAAATAACATTTCTTATGTTAATAAATTGACGATAGCCCTGAGCTATTATAAAAATTGATTAAAGGAAACTTTTTCAAAAATACGGTTATCAAAATTTAAAGGGCCATTGGACTGAGCTATTCAAAATAATGGATTGCAAAATGAGTTGTTATACTGCATTTAAGCACTTATATCTGGGGTTTACTGCGACCATTCACAATATACATATACTTAATACATTCACAATTCACAATATACTTAATTTAAAAAAACGCAAATATAAAAATATCCGACCTAATTTATTCACCGTAATCGTATAAATGTAGAGATTTCTTCATAAACCAATATTGAATAATACAAAATAAATAGAAATATGTATATAATTTAATTTTATATACTAATATACATATTTAAATATATAAAAGAATAATTTCAATTTGCATTTAAAATTATTATTTGATTTTTTAAAAGTTTTTCAATATTAAATGTATGATTTATTTAATTAACCTAAATGAATTTTATAAATTTCAATTTAAACTTACCAAATTATTAAAAATATTGATGATAATCCTTAATGATATTTTCCTTTTTTATGTAATATATACACTTATGTATATTTTAGATTGTATATAATAATTATTTTTATACATATAACTAATTTAATTTTGTAGTTTTAAACAAATTCAATTTTGAGTAGTCCCAAATTCTTTTTCATTTTTATAGCCGCATATAGAAAATAAATATTAAATTTGACACATGTTAAGATTTTTTTTTTTGTAATTCTACAACCTATACCTTTTTCACTTCAATTTAATAATTTTTGAAAATTTATAATAAGCACACTATTATTTAAATTTAAAATTTTTTATTTTTATTTGTAATATTTAGAAATAAATTCCATAATAATTGTGTAAATGTGCAGTATGTAAGTAATTATTATTATATTTTATTAAATTAATTTTCTTTCATGATTTTTTTTAAGAATATTACAGAATATTACAGTGACTTCTAAGATATTAATTAAGAATTTTTTCTATTTATAATTCAAATACAAATATATTATTTAAATTTGTAATTATTATACTTAGTAAATTATTTAATAATATATACAAATAAAATTGTTATAATTGAATAAATTCAATTGTTGTCATTTTGTTATACATATTACAGTTTAATTTTGATTATTTTAAATTATAATTTTATATTATTCACTTATTAAATTTATTTTTAATCACTTTATTTTTATAATATTTTTAATATAACATTTCTTTCACAATTAATTAATAACATTTAAGATTTTCTTTCTTTGAAGAATATTACACACATAAAGAGATCTACATTCATATTACAAATTAATGTAATTATAATTAAAAAATATTCACAATAATTAAAAGAGCAAAAATGAAAAATAAAATGCAAAAATGTGAAAAAAAAAAATAGTCTACTTTAATTATACAATCTATTTTTAGTATATATACCGTTAAACACAAAATGAAATATTATAATTTAAAAAGCAATTGAATTCTTTTGCAATAAAATACACAGAGAGAAAAAATATTTAACATAAAGAAAAAAAAAACAATCAATTGTAAATTTTCTTACAAATTAATTAAATATACATATATATTCATAATGTATGTATGTAAATATATGTATGTATACACTTATATCACTTTATATATATATGTATGTATGTAAAAATGTAAAAATCACTTTTGCACTTTTCCCTTTAAAAATTTCTTTCTTTTCATATAATTATTATTATTTTTATTATTGTTCGTCGTACGTTGTATGTGTATGTATGTATGTATGCAAGTATATCACTCAATAATAATTTATTAAATCGCTTTTAATTTTTTTTTTTTGTTGTTGTTTTCCTTTTCCTTTTATACATATATTTATTGTTTTAATATTTTCTTTGCGCTTTTATTCTATTCTATATTCACAATAACAATATTATCCCATTCTGTATGACATTTCCATATGATATACACTTAAAATATAAAATATATATAAAGTTAAAAAGATGACACCATCAAAAGCACCGATCAAATTATCCTCAAATGAATGATGAAATAAAAACTATAAAAATTTTCTCTTTTTATTTTTTTTTTTTTGCTTTTTTATTTTCCGAGAATGAAAATAAATAATTTTTCTCCTGTATTTCGTTTTTTTCTCTTATTTTTTTTCCCTTCAGTGTTCCGTTCTTTTTTTTCGTTTCTTTCTTTCTCTTCCATATAAATTTTCCTCGTTTACAAAAAATATAATTTTGTTTGAACGAGTGTATGTATATGTATGGATTTTCCCAAAAGTGAATAATAAAAATAATAAAAAAAAAAAACAGAACTAGTAACGAAGAGAGAAAAATTCCAAAAAAAAAAAAAATTATTTATCAACTTTTTCCGCTTCGTTTTTTTTTTTTTCTTTCCTTCTTCTCTTTCTTATTTTCCCTTATTTTATTCTTGTTTTTTATTTTTTATATTTTTTCAAGAATCAACCGTACAACATTATTGTCATATATCGACTAACACCAAAGGGGACCTATTAAATCCAAATTGTATCCATTTATAAAACCATTTAATATTTATTTTCACTTATATAATAATAAAAAAGAAAAAATAAAAATAACAAGAAAAAAAATCAGAAAATCAAAAAACAAAAAATTATATAAAAAAAAAAAGAGGATATTCTTGCGCATTGAAATATTAAATTGCTGTATTGCAAATAATGTTATTTATTGAGGAGGAGAAGATTTTATTTTTTTTTTTTGTGTATAATAGTAGAGTTGTCATTCAAATTCATCTTGTTATTGCTCTATTAAATTGAATAATAATGACATTAAAATTAAATTAATTTTTTTTTGACTGTTTTGTATTTGTTATATTTAAATTCAAGTATGTTAAAGTACAGATTAAAAAATTTAGAAGTGATTATAACTAATTATGCATTGAGAAATTTTATATACTTATCTTATATATTTTTCCTAATATATTTCAATTTGTAATTAACAATTTTTTCAATTCCCATTTATTAATAATGAGCAAAACTACACACTACAATCACTTCGTTTATATGGCACTTTCAAGTGTACCATTTTATCATAAAAACGTTACATGTCCATAAAAACATTACGTGACTTGAAGCCGGTTTCAGTCAAGTCAATCAAAAATATTGGTTACTTGACTTGAAATATTAATAATAGCTGAAAACCCAACAGTGACATTTATCTAATACATTACAAATCATTATTAACATTTGAAGTAAGCAAATTTTTTTGATTGAGTTGAGTGAGCCCGGCTTTAAATCAAGTAACATTTAAAAAGACATAAAATTGGCTTCAAAAAGGCTTTAAACTGCCATATAAACATGTTAAATGACCTAAAATGTAATAGCTAAATGTCTTTTTCGAGCTTCCAAGCTAAAAATAATAAGAACGCAGCTTGAATTTCGAGACGATGTCAAATAAAGTACTCAAGCTACCATATAAACAAGGTAAATAATGCGTAAATGATCTGTGCAGTTACTTTATGTACTGTTACTTCAGTAAATGAAAATAATGTCTCTTCTTTACAACAGATGGAGTCATGTGTTTTCGGAGTTATTTTTACGTTTAATTATAATACTCGTATTAAGAATTACTATAGTATATTTAATGTTGATTTGTAATTGGAACCTAATATTCTAAATAATTAAATACAAACTAAAACATTTGAATTATTTGTATGAAAAATGTACAATATTTAAACTGCAACAATGAACAATGAATATGATTTAATTAATTCTTTGCAAGAGATTATAGAAAATTTTTAAAAAAGTTAAAGAAAATCAACAAAAAGATTAAATTTAAAAGACAACGTCAGAACACAACAAAGTGGAAACGAAATTTTAAAATTCAATTTAATTTTAATTTATTTTAATGTACATAAGAACCTATATAACATTAATACGTATGTGTAGTATTACAAAAAAAAAAAAATTAAATAAAAAATACCGACGGTACAATTTTTTTCTTGTTATTTAAATTTTAAAACATAAATTATAAATAGAATTTTTATTTAAAATTATAAATAGTACATAATATATATATATATATATACATTGTATATAATTATATATTATTTGTAATATCTTTTACTTATGCACATTTTAATATTATAAGAACAATAAATAAATAGTGTCTTCAGTGTCATTTTAAAATTAAATTATAATATTTCATCCGTTAAAAAGAATTTTGTATTGTATAACATAAAAGACTTGTAAATATTTTTAATTTAAATATTTAAAATAATTTTCATTTTATTATTTTAATTATTATGAAATTAATTTAAAATGTATATTTTTGTATAACATTATATAGAGTATTAAACAATTAATATAATTGCATTTGTTTTATTGTATTAAATTTTAATTATTTTGTATTTAATTAAAAATTTTATAAATAAATTTTTACTTTGAAATAAAATTTGCAAATAATCTAATAATTAAATGTGCTTAAATAAAAAATATTTAATTCAAGCACATTTAATTAGTTTCCTTTTCAGGGATGTAACACTTCAAACCATTCTAGAGTATTATTGGGAAATAATTTGTATAAAATGAACGGTCTTTTAAATGAAAATTTTCTTATATAGAAAAAAAAACTAACTTACAAATTTCAATATTTCCATTTTTATTGAATAATAATAGTAAAACCATATGCATTACAGATTTGACATAAATCTTTCATATATTTAAATGTAAAACCATTTATACTGGAATAAATGTACGAACTAGAGCTTCCAAATGATAGACTGACTTATTATATAACATTCTCAATAAGTATTTAGAGTCTTTTTATTCTTAAATGAAACGTTATATACGATATTAAAACTTCAATTGACATATATAATGTATAATCAATGACATAAGGTCCAATGACATTTTAAAGTAAAATTATAACAGCGTGTAAACACAAGCTTTTACATTTTAATTTTGTGATTCTGATACAATTAAAACCTTCTTCAATTATTTCAAAAATTTTATCAAAATTATATTAATCTTATTGTAATTTTATATTTTTAGCATAATATAACTAGGGAGCTTCACAAATCCTTATTTTTGACAAAAAATAATTTAAAGCAACTTTTCGGACTATATAATAACATAGTTTAAATAAAGACAACAAGGGAAAAGTGCTCGTGTATTTATTTTAGAGCTCAGGGAAACAAGGGAAATTTTTTGTTTTGCAACTATTTGATGATTGCTTATTTGTATTCGATAGGTTTCCATTAAAGCGGCCACACATGCAACTGTATTATCGCATGCAATTGATAAATGCATGCAAAAATTTTGAAATTTGTAACAAATTGATTGAAATTTTTAAGATAACGCAATTGATTTGAATTAGCGCAATTGTTTTGGTTGCTTAGATATGCACGCAACGATTTTACAATAATTGCAATAATTGCAAAACCGAGTGCTTCCATGTCTGCCTACGCCCTTATCTTTCAACATATCGTTTAATAGTAATTTACCACAACTATATAAATCCTATTAATAAAAATTAAAATGCTATATAAATTCCAAAATTATTAATGATTATACCAAAATAATTTCAGAATTGAAGATAGAACATTTTCATTTTTATATGATCAGAAATGAATAAAAAGTACAATTTTAAATCAATTTTATTCCTATATATAATAATA